GTACACCCTTAAGTGGTTAAGCCACCATTATCTTCCAGCAGTGCCTTAACCCTCATGGGCATGGAGTTTACCAGAGCTTCACAGGTTGTCACTGGAGTCTTCTTCCACTCCTCCAAGACACCATAACTTATGTCATGGATGTTAGAGAACTTGCGCTCCCCCACCTTCTGTTTGAGGATGCCCCACGGATGCTCAATAGGGTTTAGGTCTGGAGACATGCTTGGCCAATTCATCACCTTTACCTTCAACTTCTCTAGCAAGCCTGTGGTCGTCTTGGGGGTGTGTTTGGGGTCGGTATCATGTTTAAATACTGACCTGCGGCCCAGTCTCCGAAGGGAGGGGATCAAGCTCTGCTTTAGTATGTCACAGTACATGTTGACATTCACAGTTCCCTCATTGAACTGTAGCTCCCCAGTGTCAGCAGCACTCATGCAGGCCCAGACCATGAAACTCCCACTACCATGCTTGACTGTAGGCAAGACACACTTGTCTTTGTACTCCTCACCTGGTTGCTGCCACACACGCTTGACACCATCTGATCCAAATAAATTTATCTCAGTCTCATCGGACAACAGGACATGGTTACAGTAATCCATGTCCTTAGTCTGCTTGTCTTCAGCAAACTGTTTGCGGGCTTTCTTTTGCATCATCTTTAGAAGAGGCTTCCTTCTGGGACGACAGCCACGCAGACCAAGTTTATGCAGTGTGTGGCGTATGGTCTGAGCACTGACAGGCTGACCCTCTGCAGCAATGCTGGCAACACTCATATGTCTATTTCCCAAAGAACCTCTGGATATGACGCTGAGCACATGCACTCAACCTCTTTGGTCAACCATGGCGAGGCCTTTTCTGAGTGGAACCTGTCCTGTGAAACCGCTGTATGATCTTGTCCACCGTGCTCAGTTTCAGGGTCTTCACAATCGTCTTATAACCTAGGTCATCTTTATGGAGAACAACAATTCTTTTTTTCAGCTCCTCAGAGAGTTCTTTGCCATGAAGTGCCATGTTGAACTTCCAGTGGCCAGTATGAGAGAGTGTGAGAGCGATAACACCAAATTTAACACACCTGCTCCCCATTCAAACCTGAGACCTTGTAACACTAATGAGTCACATGATTCCGAGGAGGGAAAATGGCATTTCCACTTAGGGGTGTACTCACTTTTGTTGCCAATGGTTTAGAAATTAATGGCTGTTTGTTGAGTTATTTTGAGGGGACAGCAAATGTACACTGTCATACAGGCTGTACACTTACTACTTTACATTGTAGCAGAGTGTCATTTCTTCAGTGTTGTCACATGAAAAGATTTTCTCCTTCCACCGCCCATTCCTAACTGGGTGCTAGGGTTAGTGGACGAGACTTTAACCACCAGAAGAGTTGGCATCAGTGCAGAGCACAGCTGGCCTCTGCCCTTACTGTCCGCTTGCTACCGGGCAGAACTATGCACTGGTCCCCCCCAGCTAAAGAGCTGGAATCTGGACAGAGGGCCACTAGCCTCTGTCCTCCCCATTCCCTGTGTCCAGAACCTGAATCCCCACACTTACTACCACAGGCCAACCCAGCAGAAGCACTGGCATTAGGGCAGAGCGCCGCTGGCCTCTGCCCACTAGTTACCCACAGCTCCATGCCTGGGAGCACGAAAAATCTTGGGGTTGACGGACACCCACTTAGCAACCTGGGACAGAGCCCAACACCAGAGGCCACCAGGTCCAGCAATTGTTTGTTGTGGGTGGGCTACTCGACTTGGGAGGGAAGATGTGTGATGAAAAAACAACTTCACCACTGGGTTTTGGAGAGGACTACTTGCCAGCCTTTTACCCTGTGACTATCCTGTGACTATGGCCCCTTTAATTTATTTTGGTGAAGAGACCCTAATTGTGGCCATTGGGATTTTAAACAATGGTTCTTTGTACTCCCGAACAGTCGAAGTGGCCGTCGTCCAACATTTGAACACGTGGTGGTGGCCATCTTGTTTGCATGGACCAAAACCACGAATAGACTTCAGGGAGATTTAGCCCCGAATGCCCTGGAACTATTTTCGGCATGAAAACCTTGTGGTTCCCGGTCCGTCCTCCATCGGCACATAGCCGCGATTCTATGGAACTGTTTTGGGCATGGGACCATGCCTGCGCCTGGGCAAAAAAAGGACTTCCATAAAGTTTCTGAACCCCTTATCTGATCTGGGTGATTATTGGATATGTTGATCAGGGCTATCAGGGGATCTAACATTTATGGGGATATGTTGTGTTTTGGGGTACTTATGGTACTTTATAAAAATGTGTGTTTTTTTCTGCCTGGGGATAATTAAGTTAGTGCATTATCTGTCTTAATATATCACAGGCAGAGGGGAGGGATTGTGTACTGTATGTGGGAGTGTCATTCATTGTCACATTGTTTTTATTGGCTTGTACACTTTGTGTCCCTGTGTCCAACAAGGTCCACCTGGGCGTCAACTTTGTTGGGAAACTTGCATAAAAGGCCAGTGTGCCTCCATTAAAGTTGAGTTCCTGTTTGACCCTCAACACCTAGTCTTGTCTGGTGATTGGAGGGGAACTGCTATATTCACACTGGGGATTGCTATACTCTTTATACTCCCCTGAGCTCTAATCACTAGCTCTTCTAAGAGCTGTTCCTGCTACGCTTTCCTGGAGGAGAGGTCTTTCCCACACGGTCCTGGATGTCAGAGGTTCATACAGGGTGGAAGGAAGATGACGAGATTCCAGTAAAGCTACGGTGGTTGTGCGTTCTGCGGTGCTTGTGGTGTCCGGTGCGGTGCTTATAGTCCACAGCATCAGCTAGGAAGCATCCGTTGACGGAGGTACACAGTCGGGGTGCCAGGTGATCCGTCACACCTCCCCTTCATGACACTGTAAAATAGAGACCAAGCACGGATGTCATTACAATTATGCCTCCCCCACCCCCCGGAAAAATTCCTGCGGACGCCCACGGATGTGTGATGTGCAAAATGAATAGACAGTGAATAGAACATGCTGCGTTGTAAAAGCCTGGAAGACAAAGTAGTGACGCTAACGTGCATTTAGGATGCAATCTAATCAGAAAGAAGGTTAAAAAAACACTGTGATATAATATAAGACTGAGGTAAACGAGTCTCTATAGTGTGATAAAATGACTGGTGCAATGAGATTACAAAGTGATTATGACATATACGTGGAACCACAAACAACTCAATCAATATAATGCTAATGAAAAAATATATAAATAAATAACCAGACATAAGCTGAAAAATGGATAGTTAAGAGATCTATGACACAATAATTAGACATATTTAAAAATCCACTCACTATGTAAGCAATTGATTACAGCATCATATTAACCTATAACTCCAAAGTTACATAGCATCAACAATGGTTTTCTTTCCAACTTCTATTGTATCAAGTGTCAACATGTGATTAATTATCTATTCAAATGGTGTGTAGTTACTATTAGACAGATAGTAAACTGACCATATAAGAAAAGAGTGAAAATAAAAATATAAATGTAAAAAGATATATGGTCTAAAGTTATTATGGTGTATCCATAAATGTGTGTGTGTGTATATATAAAACGCAGATAATAAAACGTGTAGTGTATAAAAGTGTAGCATATATGAAAAAAGAAAGAGTGCTGGAATTATATGAAACGTGTGGTCAAGCACTGAGTAATAAGCTCAAGGGATTAGAGTGCAGGGCTACTGGGACTTCTATATGTGTCAATAATGCCAGACTGACATAATCCTCCCTGGATGTAGAACACCAGAAAACTAAATTAGGATGGCAGTACAGGACCCCAAAATAGACCAAAGATGGGGCAGTGGGAAGCCCTGGTGTTATGTGCTATGTGTAGCAAAATGTCCCTTTAAGATATTAATTATTGGAGAACAGATACTATATTGACATCCAATCAATTCTATAACATTGTTTAATGTGTACTCTTGGCTATGGAATTAATGTAAGCATTAAAAAAAAAAAACAGATCCAAGTTAATGATGTCTGTTCTGCTACATATCTCCCAACATTTTAAATTGTCAAAGGGTCACTTTAAATTTAGGGGTGTGGAGAGGTGCTGTTGTAAGAAAATTTAGGTGAAGTACTAATAACAATTTATGCAACTTAAATGTAATTGAGAACAAAATCAATGTATTTTTTTTTATATTGATTCTTTTCAAATGTTTTTTATTATAGATACATTTGTTTCCATAACAGTAAGAATAATGATATAATATGAATATATATGTAAATAACATACATAAAAAAATGTTTTTTTTTTAAAAACTGAAAAACAAATAACCAGGAATAAAATTTACATTTCATCTGATAAAATGTAATAATGTTTTTTCAATAAAGTATAGTCAGTTATTAAAATATAAATAAAGATGCCAAATATGTTATGTGCAACAATGTGCTTAAAATGAGATCATATAAATAACTTTATCTGGTCTATTATATGTTATAATCTTTTATTTTGTTACTTTTTTTTTTTTTTTTGCAGTGCATATTCGTTTTACATCTATGTGTGAGGTACGCCAACGGCATTCCTCCAGCGTGTTTAGTACATAGCTATTACAGTTGGGATATCTAAAATACATGCACAATTTTATATTTATATTTACGTAGTAGACCAGTAGTTAAGTTCACCGCTTAGTGGATATTGGTAGGCTTAGTCCTGTAGTTAGGGCAGATGGTGTGGCATGACCCACGGGATTGCCAGAAAACTGTGTTACAAGTAGCTTAAGTTGGCAAGCGGTATGAAAGGACAGTCTAGTTATCAAAAGATGAGTCCTCTTGGATGTGTCTGCATAACAGAGTGCGTGAGTGTCCGATTGTTGTGTGAGTGGTGGGTAACGTTAAACTATTAGGGCCATCTTCTCTCTCGTTTTGTCAGTCAGCCTATGCCTTGTGCGGTTAGGGATCGGGTCCTCACTGGCAGGCTGTGAGGCAGGTGGTTCTGGCCTCATGGGGTTATGTTCTCGCTGTTAAGTTTGTGGGAGGTCTGGCTGATGTACCTCCGCCGGTTTACTTGACGGTTCCCTGGGGCTGTCAGCAGGTTCCTGCTACTGTCCAGCGGAACTTCGGTCCTCCGTCGCTTGTGGGTGTCTTGCTGCTTTTGCCCCTTCGGGCAGCTCAGTGCTCGAGGTGTCCATGCCTTTACCTGTTTGATCCCGTTTGGGTGAGTGTGTGGCTTGGTGACAGGCAATGCCTGTGAGGTCTCTGGGAACATTAGAGCTTCCAGCTTTTCCCAGAAGGCTTGGAAGACCCTGTCAAGCAGCTGTTCTATATCTGCCTGCTCACTGTGGGTGCACGCTGCCTCCACCATTTTGGGTGTAGAACCTCCATTTGTTGCAAGCCCCTGTGTTGCTGGAGCATTCTTAGTAGGTCGCACCTGGGTCTCCCGAGGATGGACCGGGATAACCCCCAACAGTCCTGAGGGTGGGGAACGGGGTTTCAGCCTCCGCTTGTCAGCTGTGGTTGTCGGCGGGGTAGCGGCCGTCTCCCGCGCGCTGACCATGCGTGTAGGCCTTTCAGACCGAGCTGGTTCAATATTCCAAAGTCGCCACTTATGAGACATCGTTGTTTGCCCTAGGTTGTCACCTTTTGGCTGGTGGCCTTTTTGGCCCGATTAGGTCCCGATTTGATGGCTTAAATCAGCTTCATTGTTGCTGCAGAGCAGGAGCTACCCAGGTCTGTTTCCTCTGCTCTCAGTGGCCAGGCCCCGCTCCCCCCATACGTTATAATTTATATCAGTTCTTGACATCCCATTCCCAGAGTTCCCATTCATATTTCAGAACATTAACTGTATTGGAAGGTGGTCTATAGGCTAATTCACATCTCTTGGTTTCTAGAGTATTATGCAACACTTCAGTCATACAAGGAATAGTAGCTGTTTTCCAATATCGAGGAAGCACCGAGGTGGCTGAAACCATGAGATGGCCTAAAATCATTTTAATTTTGGGTAAGTCATCTGGAAATCTCTTCAGGAGACTAAATTCTGGTGGTATAATGGGGATGTGATCAACGATGAGTTTAATTAGAGTGTGGATATCTTCCCAATACTGTTTTAGTTTAGGGCAAGACCAAAAGACAAGATACAGAGTACCAACTTGACCGCACTCCCTCTGGCGTGTGTTAGTCTGAGATAGTTGCAATTTACAAAGTCTAGAGGGAGTCATGTACCATCTGAATATAAGTTTGTAATGAGACTCCAAAAGCACTGCAGACCGTGTAATACCATGTAATGCCATCAGAATCTCGTGCCATTCCTCCAATTTAAACTTGTTTTTCAGTTTGTTTTCCCATTTTGTCATATAGTCCAATTTTGGACCAGATTCACCAGGAAAATAAGTATAGCACATCGAGATGGTGTATTTCCAACCAGGATCTGAATAAGACACATCGAGATCAGAGCCATCGTAACAGCTTTATAGGCCCCTGGGCAAAACAGTACACCGGGGACCTGCCTACACAACCACTCACAGGGATAAAAATGTAAATTATCGATAAAATTATGCTTATATTTATTGGTACCTCCAACAAATGCAATGCATACATACACACAGACTGCTGTCCACACACACACACACACACACACACAGACTGCTAAATACATACACACAGATAGACAGCTGAAGACAAAGACTGCTGAGTACACAGACTGCCAAGTGCACAGACTGCCGAGAACACAGAGTGCAGTGTACATATAGACTGCTGAATACACACAGAGTGCTGAATACAAACAAACAGATTGCTGGATACACACACAGATTGTTGAATACAGACACGGATTGCTGAATACATACAGACTGCTGAATACACACAGTGTAATATACAGGGTACAAGTGCAGTGTTTGTGAGGAGTGCAGTGTGTGTCTGTGTAGTGGTACAGTCTGTGTGTGGGGGCTGCAGTGTGTGCATAGGGTGAAGTGTGTGTGTGTGATAGGTACAGTGTGTGTTAGGGGTGCAGTGTAGGTGTTTGTGAGGGGTGCAGTGTGTGTGTGAGGATTGTCATGTTTCTGTGTTTGTGAGGGGTGCAGTGATTGTGTGTAAAAGGGGTGCAGTGCGTGTGTAAGATGGGTGCAGTGTGTGTATGTGAAGGGTGTAGTGTGTGTATGTAGGGGTGCTGTGTGGTTGGGTAATGTATGTATGTTTTGGGGTGCAGTGTGTGTGTGAGGGGTGCAGTATGTGTGTGTGAGGGGTGCAGTGTGTGTATGTGGGTGTGCAGTGTGTTTGTGTGTAGGGGTGCAGTGTGTGTTTGTGAGAGGTTGCAGTGTGTGTATGTGTGTAGGGGTTCAGTGTGTGTGTGGGGGGTGATAAGGGAGAAAATTTATATATTATTATTTTTATTTAAAATAAATATATAAATGAAAGTCCCCACCTCCCCCTATTCTTGTTACCTTTTGCCAGGGTGGGGGGAAGGACCATCCCTGGTGGTCTGGTGGTATCATGTGAAGTTTAGCCTGCAGCAAGGCCGGCTGTGCATGGGCCAGCAGGGAAGATAAAAGGCTCTCCACTATGCCCATGGACATCACCCATGTGGGGGCCCCGGGGCAACTACCCGGCCTGCCTACACAGAAAGATGGCCCTAATAGGGATTTGTGGGGCATGGGACACATGGAGGGGCTTGGGTGGGGGGTGGGACACATGGAGGGGCTTGCTTGGGGGGAAACGAAACACGTGGAGGGGCTTGAAGGGATGGGACACATGGAGGGGCTTGCATGGGGGGATGAGACACATTGAGGGGCGTAATTGGAGGGGAATAAGATACATTGAGGGGCATGGGGGATTGGGACACATGAAGGGACATGCTTGGTGGGGGAACAAGACACATGGAGGGTCTTGACGGGGATGGGACACATGGAGGGGCTTTCTTGGGGAGGATGAGACACATGGAGGGGCTTGACGGGGATGGGACACATGAAGGGGCCTACTTGGGGGGAAATCAGACACATGGAGGGGCTTGGGGGGATTGGGACACATGAAGGGGCTTGCTTGGGGGTGGAATGAGACACATGGAGGGGCTTGGGGGGAATGAAACTTATTGAGAGGATTGAGGAGGGAATGAAGCACGTGGAGGGGTGGGTGGGAGGCTATGAAGCACGCTGGGTGGGAAAAAACTAGACACTTGAGGGGGATGAGTTACATAAAGGGGCTTGGAGGATATGAGACACATGGAGGGGCTGGGGGGAAGAAATTTGACACATGGGGGCACTGGGAGGAAATGAGACACATGGAGGAGATCGGGGAAATTAGACACATGGGGGGGGATGAGACACATTGGTTGCACCGGGGCCCAGTGGTTTCTAGTTACGCCTCTGGGACTGTCCCTGCTAAATAGGAAAGGTATGCTACTATACTTAAATCTAAATTTTAAATTACAGTTATTAGAATTAAATCTAAGTGTAAAGCATGATTAAGACTTTCCTTGGTGCCCTTTTATACATTTTAAAGTGTGTATTAAGACACAGATTTTTTTTCTCAGCTCAAAATATATGATTGAGAGAAATCGCAATTGAATCATACTTCTCTTGTTTCATTTAAAGCAGGATTGTTATTTAATTAGCAGTGATAAATCTACGTATCTCTGATCATAGAATCTAGCCCCCAGGATCCTGTAATTCTTATAAATAATAACAGCACCTGGAGTCTAATCATCAAGTTTAATAGGTTTTTTTTTGTCTAGGCCTTGTTTGAGATGTGGGATTAAATTCCTTATGGTTTTCATTGATTCTACTTGGTATAAAGGTTATTGAATACTTCTTTTTCAATTATGTCTTTTGCTGCAGACTTTGAATGGCAAGGGAAAAAAAAATGAATTCAGCGAATGTACAAATGATTGGCAGTGATAAGGGCACAGAAATAGGAGTAAAATATACCAACCTATTTATGGTTCATCTAGAGAAGGAAAGGTTTTGGAATACTCATGCACACAACTTATAAGATATGATATTTTTGATTATATGGAGAGGAGATTAAAAAAAAAATATTCTATATATTTTTACCCCAAGCCCCTAGTCACCCACCTTCCCACCCAAATAAAACTATCCCCTACCTACGCCCCTCACCCTAAAAATAGTGAGGGGGGAATAAAATAACTAACCAGTAAATAAAACTTACCATTTGATGTCGTCTTTCTTCTAAAATCTTCATTTTTCAGCCCCCAAAAAGGCCAAATAAAAAACCATAATACCCGTTGAACTTAAAATAAAATAAAAAACCCTGAGCGCAAAAAAAAACTTGACGGAAAAGAAAAAACCCAACGCTAAAAAAAATTAATCCATCTTCACCCATGGAGGGCTCTGCGCATACTTGGGGCTTGCCATATGCTCCCCTACCATGAGCATCAAAAGGTATTAAACTAATGATGTTCTGAGTGTCCCCCTTACTTACCATCTGATGTTTTATTTCTAAAAATTGCAACAGTAAAAACATGAGAGCAGCCCAATAATGGCTACATGCAGACTGCATATTCAAAGTGGACAAGTCTCGCAAGACTTGTCTGACATAGTGCTAGGTTCCGAGGGTGTTGAAACTCCAAGTCTTCAGATACATCCATTTCAGGTACAGATGATGTTTATGCTATGGAGAAAGAGGCATGATGAAGGTCTACTGAAGCCTCAGATATGTCTGCAATGAAATAGAATATACAAGCAGTTATAGCAGCAGTTGCCCTTATGACATCACAGAGATTTTTATAACTAATATAAAAGTGGTCTTCAAAATCAATATACATTTTACATCAATTTAAAGAAAATTCTGTAATATCCAACCCAATGTTAACTCCTCCATCCTCTTTCTGAGGTTTAGTCACCATTTTGTCTGTCAAGGAACTTCGCTGCTTCGCCATTTTGTTTTTCCCCTTCTATCCTTAAAATAGAAAACTCTTTTGCAAATTTCCCAACATTTCAAAAAGGGACACATTCCTTTTAGGCTTGTGAATGAGTTTGTGGCCAGGGGCGTGACTGTTTTGATACATTTGAGGTGTCTTACTAATAGAAATTTGTGCAAAGAAGATGTAATTTAGAAGAACAATATATTTTATTTACTCTGACTGATACATTGTAGTTTTAAGACACATTGCTCTGAGTATTATTGCTGTGGAGCTCCGTTATACACTCATACACACCAACAAAATAGGGCTCCTAGAAAAGAAAGACATTAGGGTGGAAAAGAAAGACGGAGGGATTTGATTCCAAAATTCCAAAAAAATCTACTCATACATACTCC